CGCCGGGCCCAGGGCGAGGGACGGTGCGGCCGCAGATGCGGGGTCTGAGGGTCCCCCGGGCCCAGACGTGCCGGGGGGTCTGGGGTGGCCCCTCCACAGCTGGAGCACAGCCCGGGGCGCGGAGAGGGGCGCAAACCCGCTGCTCCGCTCTGGCGTCCTCAACTACGGGAGCAACAGGCAGCTCGAAGGGCGGGAAGCGCAGGTCACCGATCATAGAATATGGGGTTGGAAGGGACCTCCAGGGTCATCTGGTCCAAGTCCTGCTTGGGAGAACCGACAGCAGCCAGGAGCGAGGCAGGACTCGCCAGCACACAGGCTGGGATCAGCCACCCCAAAACCTGCTCCTAATGCCATCCAGCGTTCCCGCGTTGTGACCACCACCCCAGCACCCACCGATGGCGGGAGGGGATCCAGCCTCTCCCTGACATCGCGGGCAAGGCCCCGCTCCCTCCCGGGCTACTGAAGCAACAGGCTCCCAGCCGCTGGCAGCAGAGCAGGCAAGAGCAGCAGGCAAGGTGCTACAGGCCCCACGCTGGGCACCTGCCCACCCCACCTCCCCCGGGGGTGCGCATGGAAGGGCTGGGGAGCCAAAAAGGAAAAATTATGTCAATGCAACGGAAAGAGCAATGCAGTATAGCACAGCTGCCAAGCAGTGACGCAGGCTTTCCTCCCCACTCTCTGCCCTTGCAGATGAATGAGCCGTGGTTCAGCAACGCCCTCCCCAGCCGTACGCTTCCCGCCAAGAAGTGAGCTCGATCTCAAGCTACAGAAATTACTGTTAGCACCCTGTCACTTCCTGCCCCTTCTTGAGCTGCCGGCAGCAGGCAGGGAGTGGATGAGCCAAGGTTCTGCTGCCTGCAGTGCCACGGGCATCACCGTTGCGAGTGCTCTTGGGCAGGACCAGCAGCACTGTGGGGCTCCATAGGGGGTTCCCCCAGCCCAGCCAAGCACAGGCTGCGTACCCAGAGCAGCCAGTGGGGAATGACATCAAGACTCACATATTCCCAGAAACATTCTTGCAACAGCAGCCGTGGGGAGATAGTTTCAGGCAGGGAGCAGGACCAGGCCACCGAACGTGGCTCCAGCTCCCAGACCTCACATGCAGCTCCACATCCATCTTCCCAGTGCTCCATCCTCACCTCCCAGTCTACTGCTCTCCTTCTTCCCTTTCAGGGACCTGATCCAGCAGCACAGGCTAAGGGCCGGGAGCAGTCAGAGGCATGGATTGAGCCAAGCACACATCCCGACAGGAGCGGCAGGAAGGCAGACAGTGGTAGGATGCACATAGCTAGTGCCAAGGAGGGTAGGAGCTAGCTCCAGTCTGGAAAGGGGGCCAAAAGCCCTCCAGAAGCTGATCCAAATCAGCCCCATCACTTTCCACAACTGGAGCACAGAATCAGAGAATATCTCAAGTTGGAAGGGACCTATAAGGAACATCAAGTCCAACTCCCTGCTCCTTGCAGGACTACCTAACACTAAACCATAAGACCAAGAGCTCCTTGAACTCTGACAGGCTTGGTGCCATGACCATTTTCCCGGGGAGCCTGTTCCAGTGACCGACCACCCCCTCAGTGAACAACCTTTCCCTAATGCCCAATCTGAACTCCCCCACTTCATTCCATTTCCTCATGCCCTATCACTGGGCACCAGTGATCAGCAGCTCCTACCCCACGGCCCCCCTTGAGGAAGTTGTAGACTCACCCCTCAGCCTTCTCCAAGATGAATGAACTAAGTGCCTTCAACTGCTCCTCAGAAGTCTTGCCCTTGAGGCCTTTCACCATCTTGGTCGCCCTCCTCTGGACACACTCTAATAGTCTGATGTCCTTATAGTGAGGTGCCCAAAACTGCACCCAGTACTGGCGGTGGGGCCGCACTAGTGCAGCGCAGAGTGGGACAGTCCCCTCCCTTGACTCCCTGGCTGTGCTGTGCGTGATGCACCCCAGGGCATGGTTGAACCTTTGGGCTGCCAGGGCACACTATTAAATCATATTCAACTTGTCATCAACCTAAACCCCAAGATCTCTTTCTGTGTGGCTGCTCTCCAGCCTCTCATCCCCCAGTTTGCATGTACAACCAGGATTACCCTGTCCCAAGTGGAGAATCCAGCTTTAGCTCTTGTTAGATTTCATACGGTTGGTGGTTGCCCAGCTCTCTAGTCTATCCAGATCTCTCTGTAAGGCCTCTCTACCCTCAAGGGAGTCCACAGCTCCTCCTATGGTAGTATTGTCAGCAAACTTAATATAAATGATCTGGATGCAAGAATGGAATGTACAAAAACATTACAGAGCACTTTCACAAAAACTGAGCCCTGGGGAACTGCCAGCCTGACGTAAACCCATTTATGATAACCCTCTGAGCCTGACCTGTCAGCCAATTGCTCACCCAATATATAATGGACTTGTCTAGCCGTGTGCTGCACAGCTTACCCAGGATACTGAGAGACAGTATCAAAAACTTTGCTAAAATCCAAATCCACCACACCTACTGGCATCCTTTGGTCAACTAGATGAGTGCCCTTGTCATAAAAGGAAGCTAAGTTGGCTAAGCAGGACCTTCCCCTCATGAACCCATGCTGGCTATGACTAATGACTGTATTGTCTCTCAAGCCTTTTCCAGTAACTCCCAAAATAACCTTCTCCATAATTTTACCAGGAACTGAAGTGAGACTGACAGGCCTGTAATTACCAGGGTCTTCCTTCTTACCTTCTTGAAAATCAGGACATTTGCTAGCTTCCAGTTGATTGGGACATCTCCAGACTCCCAGGACCATTGAAAAATAATGGAGAGAGGTCCCGCAATGACATCAGCCATCTCTTTCAGCACCCTGGGATGAATCCCGTTGGGACCCATAGATTTATGCACATCCATCTGGAGCAGCAAGTCACAAATAAGTTCAGGTTCAGCTGGGAGTTTATCATCCCCCTAGTCATGGTCTTCCAACACAGGGCTCTGGGGGTCCCAGGGCCCATCACCAGTGCTGAAGACAGAGGCAAAGAAGGAATTAAATGTCTCTGCTTTGTCTACATCCCTATTTATGAGGTGACCAACCTCATCAGGCAATGGAACAATGTTACCTCTGATTCTCCTTCTGCTAACGTATTTTAAAAAGCCCTTTCTGTTGTCCTTCGGAGTGCTGGCCAGCTTGAACTCTAATTGAGCTTTGGCCACACTAATTTTCTCCCTACAGTGGCAGACATCTCTGTAGTCCTTCCATGTCACCTGTCTTTGCTTCTAATTTCCACAAACTTTCTTCTTCCACCTAAGTGCTAGAAGATCCCTGCTCAGCCAAGCTGGTCTTCTATCCTGCTTGCTTGACTTCCAGCACTTTGGAATTACCTGCTCCAGTGCTCTTAAGAGATGTCTCTTAAAAAGTGACCAATATTCATGGACCCAAATAACTTCAAAAGCAGATTCCCAGGGGACTTTACTAACTGGCTCCTTCAGTAGCCCGAAGTCTGCTCACCCCATACCCAAGAGTTTAATTTTTCCTGGCAGTTTTTCCTCCTATTGTTAACAATTTAAAACTCAACTACTTTGTGGTCACTGTCACCGAGACAGCCACCAGTCACCACTTTGCCCATGAGTCTCTCTCTGTTTACAAACAACAGATCTAGCACAGCACCTTTCCCAGTTGGTTCCCTTAGTACCTGCACCAAGAAGTTATATTCAACGTGCACATGCAGGGAACCCTCCCTGTGTACCACGCTTGAACATTCCACTGCAGATCATGCAGCACCAGAGCTGCTTGCCTCGGCGAGCGAGTGCTGGGCAGGGCTGGGGGGCAGCAGACGGAGCATCCCTGTGCAGCCACCCCTGCACATGGTCAAGGGTAGCCGCTCCAGGAAGGGGTGCGGGCTGCCTGCAGCACCCTGAGGCAGCCAGGAACACCAGCTGGGGAATAACAGGGGAGAGGGAACAGGCCACCTTTCCTGGCCCAGCCTTGGGGCACTGCCACACCAGAGAGCAGGACTCTTCAGGGCCTTACCCAGATGTGAGGCAGTGTGACAAGGTGCCTGTGTCAGCATACCACAGAGAGAAGGCAGCAGGGCTGGGCTTCCAGCACCGGCAGGTAGGAGCAGTGAGGGAGAGTCCCAAGTGCTGCTTCCCTGCCACCTGTACCTAGACACTGTCACATCCACCCGCTAATAAAATGGTAAGTAGCAGCTAACAGCTGCAGAAGCCCAGCTGGCTCTCCCACATGCAGCGTGAAGGTAGTTTAAGGCAGAAACTGCTCGTACAGCTGCCTGCCACCACCAAATATCCAAGCATCCCACCTGGAAGCACCAGGTGTGCCCAGAAAGGCTTCCCCAGAGCCATGCTGTGACTCCATCCACCATCACCCACCTTCTTCACACAGCAGAGCTCAAGTCTCTGGCTGAGTAGAATGAGCCACAGCCAGACACAGACCTGCCCTTTCTGCCCAGTCCTTTGGAGAACAGCGGGCAACAGTGGGCACTGGCCCTACCCCAGCAGACAGCAAGCATCACTGGGAAAAGATACCTTTATTTTAAATGCAAGGAGTTAAAATTTCATACATTCAAGAGCTCCACAAATATCACTGGCGCAGCACCTCAGGCAGACAGACAAGTGGCGGTTGTGAGTCTGTCCCCACGTGCTGGCTGTCAGTCTCTCCCCAAGTTACCACTCTCCTCCACTGGTGCATCTTCCAGACAGATTCCTGGGGAACAACAGGAGCATCAAGTACTGCTGCTCCCAGCACTGGGCAATTCCTCCACAGGGAAGGCCACGAGCTTTGTCCCTTCCACCCGGCAGCCCCCAGTTATGCTGGCAAGAGATCACTGGAGCAGCCCTGCAGCCTGCCCAGGGGCCAGGGCTCACCCCAGCGACGGAACATACCTGCTGCTTTGAGCTGACGCTGCAAGGAGGAGATCATCTGGGTATAGACTTCACACAGGGCAGTCTTGTCAGCTGCGGGCAGGAGGCAAGTAGGTCTGTGCTCAGTCTGTCCTGAACACCTCACACCCAGACCCCCTGGGCTGGCAGCTGGGATCCTGCTCTACCCTCAAAAATAAGCCAACTCCATCTCCACAGAGCTGCAGGCCTGGGCTTCAGGTACAAGTGCAGGGGGGATCATCTGGACTGTGGGTGTCCCACAGCCCCCAAAACAGCCATACCCACGTACCAAGCTCACTCTTCACTTGCTCCAGCTCGTTCTTTACGCGCTTCAGCTCCTGGGACAGCTGATCACCTGCAGACTGGCAAGGATGGGGTGTAAGTGTGATGCAAGGGGTGGGCATCCCCAGGCAGTGACCCGAAGCACAGCCCCATCACAGCCCTTCCCGTGGAGGAGCATTTCTGCAGGCAGCACACACACACCAGCGGTTCTTGGGCTTGGGGAGCCCTGCTCACCCCCCTCAGCACATCAGAACAAGCCCCTATTTTGACAATCACCCTTGCTTCAGGAGCCCGGTGCTGCTGCAGTGCAGTCCAGCTGACACCCCAAGGCCAGCACCCACAGGACCACTGCCAGGGCATGTTCATCGCAGCAGCAGTGCCACTGTTTGCTTGTCAGCAAGCAACTGCCAGCACCTCTGGGTCACTGTAGCCCTTTGGCTGGCTACAGCCACATAGCAAAGAGCCCTAAAACTGCTGGCAAATGCACAAACATATTTTGCAGGTAGGAGACTTCACTGCTGTGGGCTCTGCTCACCCCATCTGGGGGACATGGCCAACATGTCAGGAGATATAAAAGCAACACCACAAACCATGGGGGGTGTGGGGTGTGTGCATCTTACAAAAGACCCTTAAAAAAAATTTAACTTGACAGAAGCCTGCAGTTCCTTGAGCTCCAGAGAGGTGGTAAAGCCATGCAGCAAATGCACAAGATCTTGTATAAAACGAGGAAAGGCTAAAACAGCTCAGGTGCCAACCCAGAGATCAGCAGCCCTGTGTCCCATCACCTCCCACCTCTGGCAGAGCTGGCCCAAGCCACCGGAGGAACAGTGCTCCGTGGTGCTGGGACACAGCTGGCTCTTACCTGCTCAGCAGGGACTGCATCCCCATGCCCCAGAGTCGGGCCAGGGGCCAACTCACTGGAAAAAGAGGACTCCAAACACACCCACGTCTGGTCAGCCTTATCTGTGAAGAGAAGCGTAACCACTAGAAACATACCTGCCATCCCCAGCCCCTCTTCAACCAGGCCAGAGCTGCTCCAGACCAGGGGGAGAACCTGTCCACGGAAGCCAGAGCTCTTCCAGCCCCTCCAGCCCAACGGCTGCTGCTGGCCTGGTCTGTACGGGTGCTGCTGGGAGAAGGTGCTCGTGCATGGCCTAGCTCCCAGTACCTCTGGGCTCCTGCTCGGAGTTTGCTCCCAGGGCCTGGACTGCAGGCTGCCTAGCTGCAGTTCTTGGGGAAGGCAGTGCACCCTGCCGGCAGATCAGGTTAGAGCACTCCCAGGTTCAGCAAGGACCCTGCTGGGGAGCAGCACTGCCCTAGGCAGCTGCCCATGTTTCCCCATGCTCACCCTGACACAAGGTGAGAAACCACCGGAGCCCAGCACAGAAATGCAGACTCTCCTCACCATGGCACACTCCCTGGATGCTCAAGTTTTCAACAGGCCTTTGGCGGTCAGGAGCCAGGAAAGCTCCAGAGGGGCTCCTCTCTGCAGGGCAAATCCAGCTCCGCACCCCTGCATGGGATCACACCTCCATACTGCTCACCTGCTCCTAAGACAGTCCATGCTGCAACCACCTGTTCTTTGCTCTTATTGTTTTCCTTCCGCTCTAGGGTCCTATTGCACATCAGCTCCTGTGTAGTCGATCCTGAAGTGGGGTCTAGAAAATGAAAGCAAAGAGCATCAACCCCTGCTCAGAAAGTGCCCTGACAGCAACATGCGCTGACCAGGGCCACTCCCCACCCTACAGATTGACTAGAGCACCATATATTCAAGCTCTTTGCTGGGTGCCTCTCCAGGGAAAAGGACTTGGCCCCTAGCCTTCCTGCTCCCAGTTTCACTTCCCCTCCTCTGAGCCCGAGCACATGCTGCGCCCTCCTGTCCTTTCCCAGGGATCAGCCTTGACCCGAATGTTCTCCCCCTGCTTCCCACAACACTGGAGCCTCCAGGGCTTCTGCCCATGTTCACCCTTACCAAGGCAAGAGCGCTTGAGGGAAGCTGCTTTTCCCCGCGGCCACAGATGGGAGCAAGAAGCCACGGTAGGAATTGCTGTAGAGAGCCTCTGGGAGGGCTGTTTGCAACCCCCAACCTTGACAGCACCTGTAGTGGACAAACATTAGGCACAGGCTGCCACTCCAAAGCAGCCACCCCGCACCTCTCCTAGGACAGCCAGGCTGCCCATCCCAGGCCCACGGGCACCAGCCCTGCTCCGACCCCACAGGACCAGGGGGTGAGGAGGGCTCCAAGCCAGCAGGCTGCTAGCCCACATGCAGTGCTACCACACACAGTGCTAATCAACGCAGCACTTAGGGCACGAGTGCATTTCCCGGGCTCCTACCTGCACCACTTCCAGGGACTCCCCACTCCCCACGCTCTGTCCCTGTCCCAGGCCTTCCCCCTTGTCCCTTCTAGCTGCAGCACCAGTCCCCCCAGGCTTCCCCACTTTTCGTGAGGCAACCGGCAGGTGAATTACTTTCTGTCTCTTTGTCCCGGGGGATAGGTTTGGGAACGGCGAAAGGCTGTAGCAGCCGCAAAGCCCCGCTGGGATGCTGAAGGCTGGACTTGGCAGCCGGCAACAGCTTCAGCTTGGTACCTGGGGGAGAGAGGGGGTTTTGCAGCCCCGAGGAAGTGGTCGCTGTGCTGGTGGCTCCCTCCAGCGACCCGGCTCACCTGCGGGCTGGGGGAGCCTCGTTGCCGGGGCACGGAGCCCCTTGACGGCCTTGGGCAGCTCCGAGCCCAGAGAGGCCCGCGGCTGGGAGAGAGCGAGCCTACCGCCGCCGCCGCGGCCGGGGGAGCGCCCGGGGGTGCGGGACCGGTTGGCGGGGCC